CTAGGTAAAACTAATCCTGTGCAAATAGGAATTAAACAGGATATTTGTCTCTGTTTTTTAATGAAACGACAACTTCATACGTTGCTGCTCTAAACCAGTTAATTTCCTGGAGAACACCAAACCTCTCCTTTGTAGCCGCTGCCCAGTCATTTTCATACCTTTTGGGAATTTACATCCATGTCACCAGATTGTCTCCAGTGAGTCAGCAAAGACCTATTGTGAAGGTTGATATCTGCATATGCATCTAGCTTGTTCACAGTGGGAGCTGCAGCAGCACACACTTTTACACAGCAGGAGGTGGGGGGAGCGGGTGAGGGGCTGGGTTTATATTCAGTGAGGGAGAGGAGGAGGAGCTGTGTGAAGGTGCAGACTGGGAGAAAAACTGGCCGATTTTCAAGTATAATTATAACTACGTACGAGACTATATCGTTTTATATCAGAGTCAGAGTTTCTTTATTGTCATTCGCACCTCATGTGGTACATGTGGTGGAGCGAAATTATGTACACAGGGTCCCAGTTACATCCAACAATAAAATGTATAAGAAAAACAGTAATAACATCTAAGATATGAACCAAGAAAAACATCAACCAAATACACACCAAGCACTCGCAACATAAAACATTGAACATCAGCACAAACATGAACATGAGTCTGTGAGCAGATGTGCACGCATGAACACATCAACATTGAAACAGATCAGCAGCAACATGAAACAGATCAGCAGCAACATGATATGGTTTTTCACAGTGATTATTCTAGTTAGAGATTCATGAGTCTAACAGCCTCAGGGTAGAAGCTGTTCCTCAGTCTAGTGGTTCTACACTTAATGCTCCTTAACCTCCTTCCTGAGGGGAGTGGGGCAAAAAGTGTGTGTGCTGGGTGAGTGGGGTCCTTCATGATGCAGGTGGCCCTCTTCCTGCATCTGGAGGTGTAGATGTCTGTGATGGTGGGGAGGCTGATTCCGACAGATTTCTGTGCAGCCTTCACCACTCTCTGCAAAGCTTTTCTTTCTGCAGCTGTGCAGCCTCCATGCCACACATTGATGCTCGAGCACAGGATGCTCTCCACTGCACACCTGTAGAAGGAGGTGAGGACTGAGCTTCCCAGACCAGCTCGCCTCAGCCGTCTGAGGAAGTAGAGTCTCTGATGAGCTTTCTTGATCAGGCTGGTGGTGTTGTTGCTCCAGCTGAGGTTGTCATTCATGTGTACACCCAAGTACTTGTAGCTGGAGACCACTTCCACCGCAGATCCTCTTATGTTCAGGGGGGTGTAG